GTCTCTGGTGAGGCCTCTCGCCGCCCCTGAGCCTCTGGCCTGTACCCCAGTTCTGTATGCACAAATAAATAAATCTTTTAAAAAAAAATGAAGAAAGTAAGGTTTGGATAAAGTTTGTTCTATATCATCATACATATCATCATAGTAAATAGCAGTGAGGTCATATAACTTAGGTCTTTGATTTTTTTTTACCCAGAGCATTATCATTTGTATCATGTTATCTTTCTTCAGTTTTTACTTCTGATGTCCATAATGTATTATTAAAATAATAGTAAAGCATCTTTTTATACCTAAAATTTTAAGACCAAAGATGGAATTTTAATATTTAGAATTAAATGAATGTTTTAAAGTAAGAAACATACCACCCTGGGCTTCCTCTTGATTAAAAAATAATTTTATTTCTTTAGTGTATGTTTCCTTCTGTCCTTTGTTCCCTTCCTCTTTCATTTCTCTATATTTGATAGATAATATTTTTTTGTTAAGTGATTCTGCACTCATTAGGGATCAAAACAGTGACTTTCCTCTAATGTTGAATATCATGAATTAATACTAATGTTGAAATATATTGCAGAATGAACTTCATGAGCTTGAAAAACAAATAATATCTGTCTCTGAAGAAGCTAAAGAAACAGAAAGGCAAATTTATCAGCAAGATGTTACCATAGAGAATACCAAACTTCACTGTGGAAACCTGGAAACTCAAATTAGATCCTTACACACAGAAAATGTAAAGCTTAAATTTGACATAGAAGCAGCGCAAGAAGAGCTTGAGGAACACATGATAAGATATAATGAATATTATGCAAAAATAGAAGCTCATAAAGATAGTCTAGGGGATGTAGAAAGAAAATGGCCATTCATGACTGAACTCCATGAAAAACGAGATCTTGTTAAAAAATTAACAACAATGAAAGAGGAACTTATGCAAGATCTCCAAAATCCAGAAGGAAATTGGATGAAAAAAGTACAGGTTTGAAATATCACTTACTAAACCTTTTTCTGATATTCTTTTTTGCAGGTATGCTCATAAATGGTAAATGTACTGTTAACAATATACCCATAACTTCTTTACCCAGATTGAGAAAATTATTTTTACAACTTTTAAAAACTTGGATAAGTATATAAGTTATGCAGCAACTATGTCAAATACGCAAATGTATAAAAGAAATATCCCCACGTTCCCTGTGGATTAATAAAAATATAGAGTCAAACAAAATCACAGTGAACAATTAATACATTTATTATAGAAAGTGTAACTCAAAAAAATGTTGAAACTCTAGGTTCTCAACTAATGGATCCAGAACAATTCAAGTAAATTTAGTATGCTTAATGCTGTTATGCAAACAATATGAATTAATAATTGCACCTTAAGTATCTTTCATATCTTTTATATTTTTTGAAGATAGTGAAAAATACAAACTTAAAAGATCTGTCACTTTTTTACTAGAGAATTTGAAAAGTATTCTTTCCACTTTGCTGGGCAATATCTCTATCATAACCACTTTCCCTTATGTCTGATTTTCATTTGGATTTTATTTCAAAATTTTTAAATCTAAGGTTCATTTGTTTAAATAGCCATATTTTTAATTCTTTGTACCTATAGAAATAATATTCTAATTCTATTCATCAAAATTAAATGTGATAGCTACCTTGTCTTAAAAGTGTGAATTATACATGAACTTATATTCACTGCTCATTGTTTAACTTTGTATTTCAAATTTTCTAAACATGCAGGAAGATATTGCAAAGCTAAAGGATAAAATTAAATCTGTAAAAGAATCTATCATTGAAAAATCTTGTTTTCTTGAGGAAGAGAAACAGACACATGAAAAATTAAGAAAAGAAATAGAGGTAAGGGAGACATTGTATGGGGTGGGGTGGGGAATGGGATCAAAAACAGTGGGGGGAGGGAAATGGACTGGACTATGGTGATGGCACACAGGTGATTTGGTGATGGAAAGCCCATGGCGATTACAACTGAGATGGAAAAAGGCACAAAATGATGTAAAAGTAAATTATTATATTATTTACATAAAGAAAAAGAAGTAGTGGTAAGTCATAATTATCTGGCTTTGAATGATTTAAGGGATCATTTCTTAAAGTTACAACATATAAACATGCATATTTTTCTTACTGCTTGATGAGAATTGATCATTGATAAAAAGATTAACACGTTTCTCAAAAGTTTTCTAAAGAGGATAAATTAACATAGCAGGAGAATTTTATTAATTCTCCTGAGTTTTTTACCCTACCATTTCTGAATCTAGTCATGACCTTGGAAGAGATCATGGTCATCTTTTGCCTAGATTATAGTTTTCTTTTGTTCTAATTTTTAATATTTTCAAGCATTTTGGGTTTTGTATATTTCATTTTTGATATGGTTGCCTGTTACAATTTTTGATTTAAAAAATGAAAATGGATTTTGAATTTAAAGCATTTTGTAAATAAATAGTTTTGATCTTTTTAAGCTATATCTGAATGAGAGAAGTATTTCCAAGTATTTATCTGAGGATGCCTTTTCCCCTACTGTTATCTGTATTTACATATTTTGGAAGAAGGAAACTAAAGACATGAAAGAGAATAGATAGGCTAACAGTCTTAATGTAAAATATAAAGCAGTTCCTCCCCTGTGGCACAATGGGTTAGGACGCAGCACTGCAAGCTAGGAGCAGTCGCTTCAGTATGAGTTCCATCCCCAACCCCAGAGCTGACCCAAATGGCTCAGTAGACCTCCCCTGTCTTTCCCACTGCTCCCCTCAGCAGTGTACTTTGTCAATCTGCCTGTTCTGCTCCCCGCTCTGTCTCTGGTGAAGACTCTCACTGCCCTTGCACCTCTGACCTGTGCCCCAGCTCTGTATGTATAAATAAATAAATCCTATAAAATAAAATACAAAGCATACAAAAACAAAAGCTTTGAATACAAAGCATTCAGCAACAATTGATGCTTTTTTTTTTTGGCAAGTGTTTTCAGGGGAGGAAGACTAGACAAGTTTTTTAGCAAATGGTGAGTGCTGCAAGCAATATTCTCTGATAAAAATGTTGCATACAACATTTTGATATATATTGACAGTTACTCCTGCCTGTATTTTCTACAACTTAGGCGTCAAAATTTTTTTTAAAAAGATTTGCTTATGTATACAGAACTAGGGCACAGGCCAGAGGCTCAGGGGCAGTTAGAGCACTCATAAGAGACAGAGTGGGAAGCAGAACAAGCAGATCAACTAAGTACACTGCTGAGGAGAGCAGCAGGTGGGTCAGAAAAGGTCTGCTGCACCATGTGGGTCACCTCCGAGGTGGGGATCAAACTCATGCTAAAGTGGCTTTAGCTTCTTAGTGCTGTGCTTTAAAACTGCTGCAGCACCAGCGAGCATCCTTAAGCTTCAGATTTTAAAGAAAGGAAAGTTTTGAGCACTTTTAGAGCTACTAGTAGTAAAAAGCAAAATATGTTTAACTTGAAACAACAACATCCAGTTTACAAAATTAATGTGTTCACTTACTGAGGTCAACTCTACACAATTAAAGTCCTATCAGAAAAACCCAGAGAAGAAAAAATAAAAAGTAACCAAAAGACCAGATAAAAATTATTCAGATACCTGGATGTTAACAAATACAAGAATAAATATTATGTATTATTAAATCTGTTATGTATTGAGTACCTGGAATTTTTTAAAGCATTTTACATACATTCAAATTCTCATAATAAAATATTTTGCAAAAATTTCAGAAAACTTAAAGCCTTGTGCAAATTTGAATGGCTAATGATAAGTGACAGAGTAGAATATGAATTCAAGAATATTGGACTTTACTTTTCACAATTATTTTTAAAAATGGAATTCAATTCTGTGGACTATATTCTCCATGAAAATATTTAAGGGAAGACTGTAGTTCCCTTCACTATCAGCTCCCATTGCATTGTTGTCTTTCTTATTCACACTAATTTCTCATTAATGTCAACCGCTCTTTGGTGTAGGCCCTTTAAATCTTACATATCTGTATATGCACTTTAATATGTCTACATGCATACACATGTGCTTGTACATACACACAAATAATCTGTGCATGCATAGGAGAAGATTATATAAATGAAATACACATATAATTTTGCAACTGTTTGACTTGCTCAATAACAAGTCTAATAGATTTTTTCAGATGAACCTATTTCATTCTTTTTAGTTGCTGTAAAATATCCCACAATATAGCTATATCTCAAGTAATTTAAATATGCCACAGTTGAAAGACATTAAATGGTTTCCAGTGTTTCACTATTAAAAATAATATTGTACTAAACATCATAGTACTTACATACTTGCACTAAAAAGTAGAATTACTGGGTCCTAATATAAGGTACCTGATCTTCCTATTACTTAGTATAGTCTCAGGATAATAATTACAACTGCTACTCTATGACTGCTACTAATAGCATCTCACATTTGAAATCACTTTATATTCACTCTTTTATGGATTCTTAACCCTGTTCTCAGGAGACTGAGTAAATATTGAATTTCACCTTATTAGAAGGCTTTAATTTCTTACTCCTTTCAAATCCTTGTTTTTTACTTGAACTACACATGCATGGGAAGAGGGGCATTGTTAAAATTCCAAGGAACACAGAAAGGGAAACAACAGCTGAAAATCTGAGCTAAGATTTCAACAGCAGCCCACTATATTATCTGCCTTCTTAACTATTAGAATAAAGTTCAATATTTTTCAAAAGAAAATAACAGAATCTAGAGTTGACAATATGTGCATAACAATAAAATGTTCTTAGACATGTAAAGGAATAGAAAAGTTGTACCCATAGCTAATAGAACAACTAATCAATAAAAACAGAATCATAGTTGACTTAGAAATTGTTAGGAAAAGACCATAAATTTGATATATATAGATAAAGATAGATGTAATGGATAGAGGGAATTTTAACAATATGCAATAATCAAATGAATATTAGAACTTCAAAAATGTTGGAAAATTATACTGGGTAGATTCAATTGTAGATTATAAACAATAGAAAGCAAGATATTTTTTGAACTTGAAGACAACATCAGTAGAGTCATCAAAGCAAGTACACAGAGAAAGAAAACAATTGTAAAAAATGTGTAGCGCCTCAATGACTCACAATTCCATGTTAACAATGTGTCATAGAGATAATTAGAGTTACAGAAGGAGTAGAAGTTAAGGGAGGGTAGGAAAATATTTGAAGAAATATTAGCCCCAAGCTTTTAAAACTTGACTAAAACATAACCCATAGAGTCAAGGAACTTACCAAACTCCAAGCAAGATAAATGCAGACAAAGCCATGTCTAAGGAAATTATGTTCAAACTACTGAAAACCAAATTTAAGGGAAAAAAAAATTTTAAAAAGATGCATTTTAAAAACTTGCATATGAATGTTCGTAGAAGTTTTATTCATAATAGTGCCAAAATAGAAATATCACAAATGTCTTTTAAAAGCAGAATTGTTACAGGGCAACCCAATGTGAACTGGATTGCCTGTCTGTGGGTCCTCACCTGTATGCTTAAAATTCAATTATACTGCAGGTACACACAAAAAGGGTCAATAATGGATTTATTTACAAAGAGGAAAGGAAAAGGCACAACCCAGGGAAAGAGAGAAAGAGAAAGAAGATACAAGGTAAATAGAACATCCTACCAGCTCCCTAACTTGGAATTCTGATAGCCAGCAGCCATGTGGTTCAAAAAGAGCCTCATGGTCCTGAGAGCCCCGTGGTCCAGAGAGAGCCACCTGGTGGTCCAGAGAGAGAGAAAGCATCTCACATCACTCCCTTGTATCCTCCCAAAAGTCCCAGAATGCCTGCTTAGATCCGCAGTTGGGTCCTTCCAGTTCTCTCTGTGGTATTGCTGGGAGTTGTATTTTTGGTAACTGGAGTAAGGAATGCAGTTTAGAAAACTTGAGTAAGGGGATGGAGTCCACAGAAATCTGCAGAATTCCTTCAGAATGTCATTTCCCCCTTCAGAATGAGTGAAGAAATTGTGGTATATATTCACATAATAGAGAACTATTCAGCAATAAAAGGAGTGAAGTACTGATAAACTCAAACATGGGTATACTCACTGTACTTCACACTTAAAAATCTATGTATTGTAATTCAACAAAAAAATATATATTTTTAAGATTTATTTAAAATTTATGCATATAGAACTAGGGTACAGGCCAGAGGTGCAGGGGCAGTGAGAGGCTTCACCAGAGCCAGAGAGTGGGGAGCAGAACAGGCCAACTGACAAAGTACACTGCTGAGGGGAGCAGTGAGCAGGTCAGGAGAGTCTGCTGCTCCATATGGGTAACCTCTAGGGCCCAGATCTAGCTCATTCTGAAGTGGCTTTAGCTTCTTAGTGCTGTGCTTTAACCCACTGTGCCACCAGGGAGGGCCCTCAACAAAAATATTTTACCACACTTTTTAGATTAAACAACTGAAGCAAAGAGAAATTAATGATATGTTCAAATGTCAGCATGTGAGTTCCAAATCTTTAAAATGCAGCATTTTCTCCATGATAAAACAATAGCACCACATGTAGGAATTCTGAACAATAAATAATTTCGTAGTCACTTTGCAGAGTGTCAAAATAAGGGAACTGACACTATTTTTCTTTACAGAAAAAGTATCATTTATTCATTAAACATATTTACTGAACTCATTCTTTGTGCTAGTTACTCTTTGGGGTTTCTGATAATAATGTAGTGAACAAAATAAATGGAAAAAAATCCCAATTTTCATGGAATTTATATTCTTACTGTAGAGATAGTCATAAACAAGATATATGTGCTACGTAGCATGTTAGATAAGGGTTAGGATTAAGGAAAAAATTAGAAAAGAAAAGGACAATTTGTAATA